TCTGAACTTTTTCTTAAATCTTTCTGGTTTTCCTCAATGTCTTTGTTTGATGAGAGGTTGAGCATGCAGCCTGCTCTCTTGCTGGGCATCGGACCCAGCAAGGATGCTGCAGTTTGCCCTGAGCTGAGTTGAACCAAAATGGGCTCTGCAATGCACACAGCTGAAGGGTGAGGTGCCAGCCTCTGCTTCACAGCCATATCTCCAATATGGAAACAAAAATAGCTTTTCCTGTTTAGTTTTTTTCATTTATTTTGAGTCTATTCTTACAATTTGAAATAGCTGTGGCCCTGTAGGAGACATTTCGAGTGCAAAATAGAAGATGGAACCAACTAGTCACAGTAGCAGTAATGACTTGCAAGCTGGTTGCTGCAGATTGCACATGCGACTTTTTGCTGGCAGACAGGATGAGAAGGAAGAAGAGCTTGAGTTTGTATGTTGTATCGTAGCAGAAGTTGTTTTTTATTTTCCATGTTCTACAAGGTCACATAAGGCAAACCCAAAGTGGTAGTGCTGCCGTGTGTGCTACCCAGTCAGAGGTTACTCAGTGGAGCTCTGACCCTGTCCTGAGTGTGCACAGAATACTGGGTCTAGCTGCATGTTTGGACACTCCAAGAGTGCTTTTTCACTCTGACTCTATAACTTGTATTGAAAGCCCTGATTGGCTTTTAGAGCAAAAAACCCTATGTAAGTAAATATATTCTCCATGCACACCCTTTATGGCAGAGGAGAGAGAAAAATCTGAATTTTATGTACATTCGTAATTGTATAATTATTCTGAAAATAGACAACTAGGCAAAGCCACTCTTTCATTTGACTGAGTAAAGCTTTGAAAAGTAAACAGTGCATGTATGGAACACTTTTCATGTCAGTATTTTCTGGATGTCATTTAAGTCGATGTAAAAATCCTTAAAAAGTGCAAATTTGCTATTTAAGTTTCTTGTGCAGACAGTTGGCTCTCTGTATGGGATATATTTGTGTACTTAGATAGAAAGTCATATTTAAATAATTTATTTTAGGCTGGTCATTAACTATGCATAACCCAATTCATGTTAAAATTCAGTTCTTTTCCTACTGAAATTCGGTGTCATTCTTGTTATATTGCATATCAGTAGATTATGAATCAGTTGTACTCACATTGCCAATAAAGGCTGTTTTTTAAGACAATGAGATTATGCAGGGACTTTCGTAATTTTATTTAATCAACAATTAGATTGACGTTTGAGTCAGAAAGTGATTCAGCTTGCTTTTTTAGAGCTGTGTGGGTTCTGCATGACCAGTGAGACACCAAGCCTGCATATTTATTTCAGGAAGGAGAGAAGGTAGCAGGTTCTGTGTGGCTGGAGCAGGACTGCTGGGTAAGAAAGGATAGTCCTATCCAGTATACTTGGCAGTTTTCCATACTCACTTATCAAGACAAACTTGTGCAGCTACTGAAAATTTAACTACACCAAACTGCTTTTTTTGTGCTTCTGACTGCTTTTGTCTCCCTAAAGATGGAGTCCAGCATGTACCTATTGTCCATATCAACGTGTCTCAAGACCAGCATATTTCACTTCATAAGACTTAATGCTTTATGAATTTCTGTTTGCTGTAGACAAGATTTAAAATGTTACCCCCACTCCCAGCTTCTGCTTCTGAAGGCAGGAATTTAAAAACTATCTCTGCACTCTACCTGGAAAGTTGCCTGAGCACTGGAGTTGAATTCAATAGCTACTCAAGATTCCATAAGTGGGAATACACTCTGTGCTTTGTGTTGTTATCAGAAAGCCTTTACTACTGTAGAATATAAAAGCCTGATTAAGTTGTGGGGAAGAAGGAAGTGAGGTGCTATAAGTTGTTCATACAGAATCATTTGTAGAGGATTTTATGTCAGCTATAATACTCAAGTGGGTGCTAGCGGAATATAAATCTCCTTATCAGAATAAGAGAACTTTTTGTTAAGAGACCTTATTATTGCACTAGCAGTTGAGGTTAAGTTAGTATATCTACTCTAGCCTCATAGTTTTCACTTGTTAATGAAAACCTTCTATCATTTAAACTGAAATTTTCTTCTCTGTCCTTACTGAAACATGGTTTGTGTGGGGCTCTTTACTCTGGTCTTACTATGTAGAGGAATGTGCTTTCAGCTGAAGTGTTTCACTTCCATTTTCTCAATCTCACTGATTAAAATTGGAAAGTAATCTTTAAATAGATATTTTTTCACCATTTTTTACAGCTTGTAAAAAAAAAATCCACTTTTGTTTGGTTTTTTTGGCATTCTTTGCAATCTGAAGGTTTACTGTTTCAATGTCTTGATGCTATCTTTCCATCCTTCTAATAGCTTGAGTTCACCAGAGTTCCCTCAAACAATTAAGGCTTAAGACAAGTCCAACCACAGTATTTGTGTAGTTTCATGGAAAATTTCTGCAAGCTATAGTTGTTGCTGTAACTAAGAATGTGAGCTGAGACACAGGGGTACTGGAGAATGAGACCTGATTGACATGGTAGTGGATCTTTGGAGAACCAGACTGTAGAATGGCAAATCCCATGCTCTGATCCAGGGGGAGAGCTGATGCTGAGATCCAAGCAGCCACATAGTGCAAGGAAGACTCGCTCTTGTTAGGCAGAACTTCAAGTGAGAAGCTGTGTGCCTCCTGCTTTTGATCAGGAAGGTGTTTTTCAGACAGTCCCAAGGCTGAAGACTGCTGAACTAAGGTGCGGTATTTATTTGTCCAACTCTTGGTTTGGGATTATGCGCTTGTCACTGTCTTTTTCACAGGGAGGTGAAACTACTCTTAAGTACTCCCCTGTCCATTGGGTTTGTCCATGCTGCTCTTCTCAGGTGTATTGGTTTTCACTGCTTCTCTAGGAGAATAGAGAATGTCCCCTGCCCTTACCTGGTGACTAAGACACTGCCACGAGGTGGAAGCATACACTACCGCTTTTAAAATGGAGCTTAATTAATTTATGGAAGGGATTAGAGGAGAGAGGCTTGTAAGGACTGGTGTCTGTGTCCCTGGTATTGCAGGCTCAATGTTCCTAATTTGGCTTGATGTAATCTGGTGTCTGACTGGCTAACCTCGTTACACTGATACAGTGCTGCCAATCCTTAGAACCTTCCCCCCCCTTTTTTTTTTTTTACCCCTCCTCTTATGGAATAGTTGAAACTGGCAGAGAATGTGCAAGATCAGTGAAAGGCTCGAGTAATGATAGCGTGGGACTGCAAGGCTTATTACATTATGGGAGGAAGAGGACCACAGTATATATGCATTGTACTGCTAAAAATATTCCCTGTGACGTGGGACAGAAACACTAGCCACATGGTAGCTGTGACTTGTTCTGGTAACGTACTCTCTTGGGAGTATCAGAGTGCAGGATAAGGTTCCAGGTTGGTGGCAGAGACACAGAACTCAGAAACACATAGACATGACCTGTGTTACTCTGTGTGGAGCAGAGGCAGATTTGAGAGTCACAGAATTAATGAAAATGAAATGGGCAGGGATTAGAGCTGCAAGAGAAAAGGTAGGATCAGGTTCTAGTGCCTAGGAATCATGTCATATGGGATGAGGGCAGCACTCTCTCTGGAGGACTCAGGCACTGTCCTTCTGGGACATTTTGAGGAAGGCACTGCTTCGACAATGGTATGGACATATAAAAGACTATCCGAAAAAAGCTGCTGAGGATAAAAGGTGCAGGTAGTGTATAAGTGGAGAAATTAAATGCATACTGCCCAGAAGGCCTGCTTGCTACAAACTAATAAGTGTGAAGAGCAGAGGAAGAAACTTTTCAGACTGTGTTGTATCATATAAGAGGAAGACACAGAATATGGGGGGAAGTTTCCTGGTGAAGTCTGTCAGACAGACACTTTGGCCATCACTTTGGCCTTGTTTTTTCGCTCTAGGGAAGTTAATCATGCTTTAAATTTCTGGTGTTAGACATGCCTTGTGGTCATCAGGAGTGTGCCTATCTTCCCTTCTTGCTTTTATCCTAGGTCCAACACGAAAAATGCCCCTGACTGCCAGTGCCATGGACTTCTTTCAGCTCTTTGTCCCTGACAATGTACTAAAGAATATGGTGGTCCAAACCAACATGTATGCCAAGAAGTACCAGGAGAGGTTTGGTAGTGATGATGCCTGGATTGACGTCACCTTGACAGAAATGAAGGCCTTCTTAGGCTACATGATATCAACCAGCATCCACCACTGTGAATCTGTTCTCAGTATCTGGAGCAGCGGCTTCTACAGCAACAAGAGCATTGCACTTATCATGACGCAATCACGGTTTGAGAAGATCCTGAAATACTTCCACATTGTGGCCTTCCGCTCGAGCCAGACAACACATGGCCTCTACAAAATCCAGCCTTTTCTGGACTCTCTGCAGAATGGCTTTGACTCTGCTTTTAGACCTTCACAAGCCCAGGTAAGAGTTAACCTGTTGGCAGGGAACATCCAATCCCTGCGCTCTTGGTTGTCTCACTATGATGGATAGTGCAGAGCACCACTGCCTGAAGAAGAGCTGGGGCTTCACAATGTGAAGCCATGCTGTGGTGCTACCATGAAGCAAGAGAGAAAGCAGCACTGTCCTATGTGAGTGCTCATCAGTGTCTGACTGCAGCGCTGCAGTGCATGCACTAAGCATGTTTCAGTGGGAATAGTGCTCTATGAGCTGGAGCTGTTTGCTTTGTGGCCTAAACATGCCTGGAGACTTCTCAATGAGGCTGGCACTGCTACGTTTTGCTATCCTGAGGATGGGAGAGTGCAGGCTTTGCCTGTGAGGGAGAGTGGAAAGGGCAGAGCTGATGCAGCTGAACTGGAAGGAAAGCTGGTAGCTGCTCCTGCTACAGGCTGAGGATTGGATGGAGGAGCTGAGTTTGCAAGGAATGACTGTCCCTGACCTTAGCAGAAGGTGCTTGCTGTATGTTCCAGTAGCAGAGCCACCTCCTCACAACTGAGCAAGGGAAGATAAGTGGAGGGAGTGGTGAAAACCTTTTCTTAATATTCATCATACACTATTTAAACTTTGTTCCAGTATAAGTGATCTGCTTTTGGAGCTGTTGCTACTGATCATGTTCAGAAGTCTGAAAAGAAAATGGAATAAGCGTGAAATATATTACTGCTTGAAATAACTTCTCAATCAACTCTCTGTTTTCAGAATATAAATATTTCACTTAGACATTTGGGAAGGGTATTGTGCCCATGGTCCTCTTTTTCTTCCTATTTCCTTTCTGAACCATCACATTTTTGCCCACTGCACAAACTTAATGAAGCCATAGATGCATCACATCCATTAAAGTGTGCCTAAAATAAATGGGGGAGTGATTACAGCTTATTTTATAGACAATAAAAATCAAACCTGTATAACTCATGAGAACACAGCTGCCTAAAAAGCTGTTAAGGTAGAGAGGGGAGGAGCGGATGTTCTCACTAAGCCATGCCAACAAGGTATGTTTCTATTAAGACAAAACAGACAGTGAGAGACACGGTATTATTGGGATTGAGCTCTCATTAAGGTATGAAATCTAATCTTTATGGCTGCTGACTTTAGTGGGCAGAAGATAAAGGCTTCAGAAATGTGATCACTGTGTCTAATGTAAATGCTTATAATGGTGTGCTGTGGGACATGCTGTGAGTGAAAATCCATTAAAGGATAAATTTGATTTGCATGTATATCCTTTCTCCCATTCCCCGTCCTGAGCAAGGTTTGAGAACTGAATTGACAAAATCACAGCATCCTGTTTGCAGTGGCAAAGTATCTAAATCTCCACAAGCAAAATGTATGTTTGTCCTGAGCTTCGTAAGGAGATGCTGCTTAAAAAATATGGGGGAAGAACTAGAGACAGCCAGTTCTCTTACTTCCCCTTCCACTTCTCTGCTCCCGTGTCAGTGTTTACGTCAGTGAATTCTGTGCAGCATGTTTCAGTGGTATTGAGTGGAACAAAAAGCACTAAAATACAGCATCAAAAATAACCCTGTGAGAAAGAATAAGGTTTTGAATCTGTTGTTAAAAATACCCCAGTGTACCTCCAGTAGCCTACTGGGGGATGTTCCAGGCGTCCTCCTGAAAGGAGCCTTCTGTGTAACATCCTCCTGGGTGCCATCTATCAGGGCTGCACACTACCTATCTCAAGAGATGAGGACCCCATCTGCTTAGAACAGCAGGAAAGACCTCTCCCTGCAAACTGTCTTGAGTGCAGATTAGCAGACTGCAGTAAACACAAAACCCAGAATGTCAGGTCCAGTGAGAAATAATAAAAATAATTAAAAATAATAACCCAGTTGCACAGAAACAAATGGAAAAGATGAGGGGAAAGAGCCATTTAGATGGGCTTTTGGATGTGCTGCCTCTGAAAGCCCAGCTTTCTGTAATCAGAGATACCCGAAATCCCAAGTTCAAAATGGAATTGTTGCTTAAAGTACACCTGTATCTTAAACATGAAACTTTTGGTACCTGGGTGGCTTGTGTTCAAGCTTTATGCTACCATCTTGTAAGCAACATCAAGCAGCTGAATGACTTGTGTTCCTTGCTGTTGAATGCAGCAGGGCTGTTTGGGCTTGTAGGTAGACTTGTTACTGACCTTCTTCCTCTGGCAGTGTGGACTCACAGAAGTTAGGAAGATACCATGTTTAACTCACCCCTATGGACAGAGCAGAGACAATCTGCATTCAGAGGCAGTCCAACATCTGCCTTCACAGTTGTTTCTTCTATAGATTTGATCTTTTCTTTTTGGAGAGCTAGAAAAGATTCTTCAAGTGGAATTTCTATCAGAAAATGCTTACGAAGTTTTTTTCTCATCTGTGAGCCCTCGCCCCCTCCCCAAAATGTGCCTGTAAAAATAACACCACTGTTGCTATGAAAAGAAACAGGGAGAGAGAGAACTATGCCAATATACCAAAACAAAGAAAACAATCTAGTGAATTGTAATTATTTTGCTAAATATACTGAGCAAACAAAAGAAAATAATTACGCTCCAGCTTATGAAAGAATTGAAAGCCCAGAACATTATAATTGTATATCACCAGTGCTAGCTTCAGTTTCTGAAGTAAAAAAATGGTGTTCTGACCTAGATTGGATAAAAAAATGACAGGAATATTCTCTTCATCTTATCCTTCCTCAACATCTGTATGAATAAGTGCTGCCTCTACCTGAGCAACAAGAGGTGGAGTTTTGAGTCTGTTCGTGTAATCAGTGTTGTTTCTTTGCTGCTTAGCTTGGTAGCTGTGCTGCTGCTGTCTGCAAGCCTGAAGGCAGGGAAGATGCCTTGCCTGCGCTCAGGAGGTATACTGCACCAAATTCAAGGGTACTTGCCTGCCAAGAATATACACTGAATTCCAGAAACCAGAGGAGTTCAGGGAAAATAACATCGCTGCTCAAATATCCTTCTGTGCCTGCTGAGTATTTATATGCTTGACACCAGGATGTGACTAGACAGGATTTCTGTCTTTGGCTACCTCTGACTGGTGTGGGAGGGATCAGGAGCACAGCTCCAGGTACTCTCTCCTTCCCTATCCCTCCAAAGTACCTTCTCTTTGGCATCTTGGAACTAAAGAGTTTTGCATCTGCCCAGTGAAATGTCAGCTGGAAACGTTGGCTTAAGTTCCTGTCTCTAGCTGGAGTGAAAGAGAGGTGAACTGAATCTCTTGCTCCAAGGGCATGGTGCTAAACTTTGGCTTATTACTAGGCAGCCTGTTTGTGTTTCACTCTTGGTGGTATCATAGGGTACAGCAATTTCAACATATTTCTTCCAAACAAGCTCACAGATTGGATGACAGCTTCTTTGAAAACATAGAGGGGGAAAAACAGGCTGATCAACTTGCTTTTGTGTCCTCACAAATAAAAGTTCATTTGGCATTGAGCATTTCCAAATTATAAGATCCTGCTCATGTCTTACCTCTGTATTTCAGATTTTCTGTTTTCAAAATGATTCTGTAGGAGTTGAGGGTGCTGGTTCCAAACCAGGACCGTTCTGTCTTAGGGCTTTTGTGAGTATGACACAGATACATAAATATTCAGAGAACACTGGCCAGGCACAAGATGTGGAGCAACGGAAAGACAGACTGAGGAGCAATAAGAATATTGAACAGGAAGGTAAATTTCTGATGTTCTGTAGCTCCTGACCAGTTGATCCTTTGGTGAAGCCAGATTTTAGGCACAGTTTGGCAAAAGAAAATGATGAAAATTTATTGCTATTTTTAAATTACCTAATGGTAATGGAGTGCTGTAAAAACTGAGTTTTTGTTTCTTAAAAGCATTGATTGAAGACTGAACAAATGGGCAAAGGAGCATGTAATCATGACTCCATTGGAGGTGGGAGTTAAACTTTGAATGAGGGCAAAGAGGATCCATAAAATGTGGATAGGTCAATCAAGACTTTGAAAGTGAGAAGAGAAAGAATCTTTGTGATATACTGGAGGAGAACTATCAGAGGGAATTAAAGAAAAATGATGTGGTCAGAGTGATGGCATAGGAAAATGGCTTTCCAGCAGCAGTCTCTAGGGCAGCACTAAAACTGTTGCAGGGTGGTTGTGGGCTTGGATGTGAAGTTGGCTGGGTGAGTGAGTTGTTACTCTAAAATGAGTAACATTTTAGAGCTCTTACTCAGAAAGAATGGAAAATATAGGCATTACCTGGCTGAGAAGACTTTGCAAGGAGTAGGAGGTAAAGAGTGACATTCAGATTCACTGGCCAGTGAGATCTGCAGCAGGAAGAGAGGGATGTTAGCAATGACCAAAAAAGGAGATAGTAAGGGGCTTCTTAAGGGAGAGAGATGCTCTCAAATGTAGCATAATGAAATCAGAACTGATAGCTAGATGTACAAGCAGAGATGTCAGATACCAGCAAGAGAATTTAGTTTAGACAGGAGGAGCTTTGGAGCAAAGAAGTAGAAGCGCAAGCTACTACTGCAGAAGCAGTGACTGTCTCTGTGCATACAGGTGCAGTTACCCAGAGGACTGTTTGCAGCTGGATGGTACCCACCAAAAGCCAGAGACAAGGCAAGCTGAGGGAGTTTCTCCAGGAGACGGACTGAAGAGACAGCCTGTGCTGTGGATGGCCATGGAGCTAAGGAGAAGATGAGCTGTCTCAAGGACGTGTTGGTTCATTATCTAAGTAAAAGGAGTGCAGGAATTCCAAGTACAAGACTTAGTGGTCCTGGGGCTTTGTCTACAAGCCTGTTTGGGCTGTGGTGAGGGCAAGATGGGTGGAACTTTGGCATAGCAAGAGAGTTGGAAATTATCTAAAATGGAGAAGAAAGGCACTCCTGACAATGGGCTCTCTGTTTTGTTCTGTGAATGAAAGATGTTGCGAGGTGGAGCAATTGCTGGAGTCCCATCTTGGAGTCTTGCCTCTCTGTCCCTTGGAGTGTATGTACATATTAAGGGGAAAACAAAGAGTGAAAGTTTAGCAAGTAAATCTAGCAGTGATGAGGATGACCATAAAGCAGACGGAAAAAATGAGAAACCCAGTGTGATAGCTGTGGGGAAGCAAAGCAACTGGATGAGGAGCTTCTCAGACCTAAACAGAACTGGGAATTTGAGAGAAGAAAACGGGGATGATTTGTATGAAGAAATCCACAAGATTTTCTGGCATCAAAGGAAGTCAGGAAGAGGGGAGGGCTTGGGGAGTGAGTCAAAGATGGTGAAGAGGCGGCCAGGAATATGTGTAGGAGTCAATTAAGCCTGAATGTAGATTTTTATCAAGATGAGAAGCAGGAAAGAATATGCCATGGAGGCAGTAAGCTCACTCCTGTAAAAGTGTATATTTCAGCAAGAAAGGGGAATAGGGAAGGAGCGAATATCACTTTGCATGGAGATTTGGCAAATACATGGATTTGAGATTACAGGAGGAGCAAGGAGACTGAGAATGCAGGAGACTGAACAAACTAATAGTACTGGCCAGTGGCAACAGGGCTAACTTTTGTCATAATAAAACTATGTCAGTGCCAGAAGGAAAAAAATTGCTCCCTTTGAAAACAAGATGGGGATCAGCTGTTCCACCAGCAGGCACAGCCCATAGAGCACTCTGCTTGCAAAGTTCTTTACAACTGTTGAAGGAGTGGCTGCGTATGGAGGGGTGACAAACACTTGTCTCCCCACCCTCTCTAACGGAAGCAGGAAGAGCAAGCCTTCAGGGTTTTCATTTCATTTTCCTTGCCTGTCCACATTCCTTCTTTGCAGCAACAGCAAATCTTGCCCTACTCTGTTTACATTTTTGTTCCCTCTTCACAGCCATTCAGAAGGGACTTTGGTGGAGCATTAGTCTTCTTATAGAGAAATAACTTAAATGTTCAGTACAGGGAAACAAAGGAGGGGAAGCTCTGGGTCCTAGAGGAAGGCAAGACTGAGCATGGGTAGGGAGAAGAAGAAGATGGGGAGAGGTTTTAAAAATTCAGATTTGCTTTCTAAATTTGAGGCTGACAGGCCTTACTGTGTCATAGAAGGCAGAAAGAGTGTGAAGGGTAAGCAGGATGCAGTAGAGCTGCTGTGAAGAGAGCTGATGCTGTGGTGCAGTTGAGGGAGAGAAGCTAGACAGAGGGTAAAAGATGTCCTAAAGTGATACTTACACAGCCTTTTCTTTATGCTGCTCTCCATCCTACAGCAGGGGAGATTAGTGGAACACCACTCAGTGGGATCTGGCAGGTAGAAGGCATTTCCAGAAGTGAGAAATTCTTAACTATGTATCTAACCCCATCCTAAGGGATGTGCTCCCTCTCTCTGCACCAGAGAGGCAGAAAGGCAAAAATGCTGATGAGGGCATGTTTAATATTTGCAAAATGCCGTCAGAATCCTCTGAGGTGGAAGTGGGAAATGCCCCAGGTGGCCTTTAGAAGGGAAGGGCCGTGTTATGTGTGAACCTTGAGAGAAGAAGATTTGGCTCCAGTGGGGAAGCGGGGCAGCTGCAGCTATGAAAACAAATAGCTTTGTCTGCAGCTCTCCTTTTTCACATCTGCGTTTTGGTGTATAATTTGAACATTTCACAAGAGTGCTTTCAGATGGTCCTGTGAATGTTTTATGAGTCGTTAAGAAGTGCAGTGCGTATAAATGACAGTGTGCAGCCATCAATTCGTGGGGAGGGCATGGGTGCCTATTTTGGGTTGACAATGATGTTCAACAAACATCTTGTATTCAGGAGGCCAGCAGCTGCTCATCACTGGTGCTTAACTACTTACCCTTCACATCTCTCCTGAAAGCATTTCACAGGTTTAATGCAGCTTTGTTCTCATTTCCATCACTGTGCACAGATGCGCACAAAAGCAGCGCACATGCAGGCATGGAAAGGATTGGTCTGGGGCTGAGAGCCTCTGAGCCTGTCTCCTGGAGGGATGGTCACTGGAAAAGAACGAGCTCCTTTATATATACCCATATATACATATATATGTGTGTGTGGGGGTGGGTGGGTGGGTATATATAATCCATCTGACTTAATTTACACCCCTTTACAAGGGTATGAACTATGGCCTGCTGGGACTGCTTTCCCCTCATGTATTAGGAGGGAAGCCTGGAGTTACTTGCTCTGATTTAGATGTAGATGTCTGAATTTGGTCAGCATTCATCAGCTGAGATCTTTCAACAGTTTGCAAACCTTTGCCTTTTCAAAAGTGACTTGCTAGACAACTCGCATGCCGTGCAGTGAGGGATGTGTATGTTATGAACAGCTGCAAGGAGGTACTAGTAATTTTCTATAGGTGAGTTCCACAGTGTAAAACCTAACAGTTTAGCTATTGAATTAATGAAGTGTAACAAAACTGTTAGAAGGATCGGGGAACCACTTATATTATCTGGATGCAGAATGCAGATTGCTACTTGCTCCAGTCTGCCTTGTCTTTTTCTATTCCTGCCTCTGGTGCTTTATCTTTGTCTCCTTTTGTCAAATTTTTCAGCTCCTGAGGGAAGAGAGACTTCCCTGAAGCTACCGCCACCAGGAGAGCACCACCTCTTTAAGTGGCAGCAGAAAATATCTTTTTCTCCCTTAACTTTTCCCTCTCTTTGATGTGTATTTTCCTTTACTGTAACCAAGGAATGTACTTTACAATATATTTTAGGGGATGTTTGGATGGAAGACATTCTGCCAAACAAGATGAAGCTTATGATGAAACTTGGATGCTGTTAACAATCCTTTCTCCTTGCCCCATCCCTTGCATCGTTTTGGAGGGATGTTGAACTGTAGCTGATAGTAAGAAGTGAGAGCCATGCCTTGCAGTGTTTGCAAACCACATGTAGAGCAGCTATCCACAATGGAGTGTGCTTGGCTAGGCTTTGGTTTTCGTTGGGTGGTAGCATGGAACAAAAGTGGGTTTGCTTCTTTATATAGGGTGATGTGCACAAGCACAGTGCAAGGGTTGTATTTCCTTGAAAGAAGTTAAAGCACCTTTTTTTTTCTGCAGTTGTGTATTCTTCTGTTTTTTCCCCATCTCTTTTCTTGTCAACTGCAGGTACTACATGAGCCCCTCATTGATGAGGATCCTGTTTTCATTGCTACCTGCACAGAGAGGGAGCTGCGCAAGAGGAAAAAGAGGAAATTCAGTCTCTGGGTTCGGCAGTGCTCATCCACTGGTTTCATCTGCCAGGTGGGTTTCACCTCTTCAAATGTCTTGATTCAGTTCCAGCAGGCCCTTAAATGTATTGCAGGACCAAAGATAACAGTCACTTCTCTTCATTATGTTGCCGGGGGCTACAGTCTGAATGCAGCCAGTCTCTGACTCCTGCAGATAGTAGATCCAATGGACAGTGATGACATGTTCCTGATGCTCTGTTTGCTGTATGATTTAACTGAGTGTCTGTCTCTAGTACTGTCCATCTGGCTGCCAGCCCTAAGCTAATTAAATTGAAATGCAGTTAAAAGGTCTGTGTGTTTGTACATTCTAAATTTATCTAAATGACTAGGTACTGAGACTTCTGTCATTTTTAATGAGTCAGCTTCCCTCTCTCTAAGTATAACACTGCATCTGCAATAACTAGTGATGTCCAGTGAACTAAATCAATTTTTCTTTGAGAAACATATTAATGGGGGTTCCTATTACGTATCTTTTCACACATCTACTTCTCGATCAAAGAAATAAAATTTGATGTGACTTCGAGGTGAAATGTGAGCTGGAGAGGGAGACATGCTAAAAGGCTTGTTTTTAGTGTTGTGAAGCAATGGGAAAATCTTTTCAAA